AAACATTTCATTACCCCACTAGATAACATCTTCAGTGCACTGGGTAATGAAACGTTTGCAAGAAAACAACCAAGCTCAGAGAACCCCAAGGACTCCACAGTTGTGAGTCATGTTAGCACCGGCTTAGGGTAGAGTGTCCACGAGAAGGCAGGGAGGGGTCCAAATGCTGCATTTGTGATTGTTTGAATGGAAATGGTGGGGGCCATCAATGGAACTCGCAGCTAACAAAGCATGTTTTCCACTGGTCTAGCTTGCTCTCTCTAAAGAGAGGTGGTAATACGATAAAGGGTTTTATCTCAATCGAGGGGAAGATAACTTTGTGGTCTGCAAGTATTTTGGACTATCATGTCCATCTGCCCCAGCAAGCACATCCCTTGTCAGTGAGCTTTTGAATCTCACCCAGAAAAATCTCACCCCCCAAAAATGGCATAAACCCTCTGCCACATTAAAGGCTACAATATATTTTCCAGTTTTCCATTTCCTTCCTGAGAAGAAACAATCAGAAATCTGCACATTATTCCAAATGAAGCCATGCCACATTTTTTTCTAGAAACTGCTTGGAGCTTTGTCATTATTGGAATTGATTGATTGATTGATTGATTGATTGATTGATTGATTATGTGCCATCAGGACATTGTCAACTCTTAGAGACCACATTGATAGATTTCTTCCATGATATGGGAAGTGGCAAATAAATATTAAATAAAAATATATGAAATATTTCTCCTGTTACTTTCCTAATAGTTCTCAAGATGGCATTTGACACAAAGTTTGGCTAGACATTTATCAGAATGCAAATTAAGCTGCCTAAAGAGGCCAGCAGAGCAGAAAGGCAGGATACTAATCAAATAAGCAAATGAAATAAGGTAAAAAACAGGGAGAATATGGCTTTCAGTGCTGTGTTGAAAGCTGTCTGAATTTTTATGGATTAATCATTTTGGGAAGCCTTTCAAGCTCAAAAGCTTTCAAAAATGAGATAGTTTTGCATGGGAAGTAGGGTGTTTCAAACTCTGAATCGTATGATTCTGATTCAGAGTGGTTTGAACTTAAAACACTTTGCACATCCTTAAGAAATAGCTGAAAGTGATAACTCTGAAATGGCATTGTGTGAATTAGCTAATCACTTCCAGGTAGTATAAGAGATTTGGCTGCCAACCAAATCCTGGGGCAACCAATGGGGTGAACGTATTCACAGAGCTCTCTTTCCACTGTTTATGGTAGTGCTCAGTGGGCAAGAGAGGAGCAAGGAGAAGGAGAAAGATCTCCTGCCAGCGAATTTTGAGAAAACTGTGGTTCAAGACACCTTGAGAAAAGATGAAGAATATCGTCTTGAGAAGCCCGCAACTCATCAACGCAGATCTGAAAGACAGAGGAAAGCTGGCCAGAAGACCCAAGAAGAGGAATCAATGCTTTCTCCCGTTGACCGTCAAAAGATTGGCAAAATTCTTCTCCAACCTAGAAGTGACAAAGGAGGGAAACAAAAGTTATGTCCCAAATGTGGGAAAGTATTTAACCGGAGTATCCTTCTTCTGAAGCATAAGCAGATGCACCAAAGGACCACTCCCTATCAGTGTTCAGACTGTGGGAAGATCTTCAGCCAGCGCTCCCATCTTTGCAAACACAAGAAGTCGCACGCAAAAGAGAAGCGGTTCAGGTGCTCCGACTGTGGGAAAACCTTCCACCGGAGCTCCCACCTCTCTTCACATCAACGGATCCACACCGGGATTAAGCCCTACACGTGTTCAGGTTGTGGAAAAAGTTTCTCCCGGGGGCCTGACCTTCGGAGGCACCAGAAATCCCACACGGGAGAAAAACTGCACAAATGTTTGGACTGTGGGAAGAGCTTTGGCTTACACTCGACCCTTATCAAACACGAAAGAATTCACACGGGAGAGAAGCCATATAAGTGCTCCAACTGCAAGAAAAGTTTCTCTCAGAGGTCTCACCTCATCGTGCACAAGAGGATCCACACGAAGGACAGACCCTTCAAATGCTTGCTCTGTGGCACCGGCTTTATTCAGAAAGCACATCTTATTTCGCACCAGAGGACCCACACGGGGGAAAAACCTTTTCGCTGCTGCAGCTGTGGCAGAAGCTTTAAACGCAACTCCACCCGTGTGAAGCACGAGAAGAACCATGAGAAAGATTTGGAGGCTTTGCGGGTAAGGAGCCTTTCTCTCAGCACTTCCCCGTCGTGTGGTCGTGAAGGATCAACATGGAGGTCCAGCTGTAGAAATGTTCAAAGGGTGGGAAAAGCTGCTGCTTAACCCCATATTAGCAAGAACAGAAGGAAAGCAGATGTGACCCTGGAATATCCTGGACTCAATTTCCCAGTTCATTTTGGGAAATGTGAGAGGAGTGGCGGGATGCTTCAGTTCTGTCTGGAAAAGCCATGATAGAGGAAGGGGGAGGGGCGTTAAGCAGCCGCCTCTTCCGGGTCATTTCCTGGATTAAAATGGTGCTTCTTCCCCCCCCAAACTGCTAAGAGATGCACACTGGAAAATGTCCAGGAACGTGTGTTCCCCCATGCCTGCTGTTTTTCCACTGCAAATCTCATACCAGCTTTGTAGGATTTAAATCAGAGAAATTACTTTGTGGGGAATGGATTAGATGTCTCTGCTTCAGTCTGTTTTGGAGGTTCTCAGGTTGATTTTACACACAAGGGAAGATCGGATGATTGGCTTCCTACTAGGAAGGAAGGAGGTCTGTGAAGTTTCAGATCTGTCGGTAAGCAACCAAGTATTCTCTTGATGTTTTTGACTTCATCTCCCACAGTTTTTTGCTACTGGCCAATTATAGTTTGGAGCAGCAGCAGGTGAGAGTCCCAAACAACTGGGAGACATCAGGTTGCCTGTCCTGTGGCTGAACCACATCTGCCCCAAGCACATTTCCAGATTACCTGCAGCACTGGCTACTGAGGGTGCTCAGTTCTCGGGGGAACATGACATTGTCTCCATGATGAATTTTGTTACCCTTTTTCTCCTCTCGGTATGTTGGTGGATTCCTCCTTTTTCTCAGGGTGCAGGTTTTGTTCTCACCAGCTGAAATTACAACTAGAGTAACTAATGAATTTCTGGCAGGGTCCTTAGAATGATGACTGTTGCGTGTCAACACAGAGGAAAATCAGTATAGGAAGTTGCCTTCCTGTAAGGCAGACCATTGTCAGTTCCATACAGCTCCAGGCTAAATGAGGACTGGGCAACCTGCCATCCTAAGGGCTCGTGGGACCAGAGGTATCTGTGGGAAGGCTGGGAGGGGGGCAGAGAATGAAAACAGAATCACACCGACACAATGCAAGCCCTCCCCTTTTTGTACATACGTTGTGATATTGCAGACATGCATGAAAAGGGCAGAGCTTCTGTTCCACCAGTGCAATGCTACCTTCAACATTTTGATGAAAGCTCTGGATCCAGCAGATGGCCTGCATGGACCTCCCGAGTCTCCTGTGATGGTGGCCCTTGGTCACCCCTACACTAAGCCATAACTGGGTTTGATTTGGCTTTGAAATCATTTCTTTTGGTTTGGCCTGGGGTGATGTGGGAACCCAGGCACTTTGATCTAGTTTAGTGTGTGTTGGGTGAATCCTGTGAATTGTGGTTTATTCAATAAACCATGATTCAATCATGGATTAGTACAGTACGTGAATGTATCATATTTAATCATCTCATCCTAACATAATTTGTTGTGGTAGAGAGCAGCACTCTGGTCTGGCACTGAGCAGATAGGAATTTCTCTTCTGCCAAGTTTTTGGGGGAGAATAAAAAGCTTTACAGCTTTATAGCTGTATCGTTTCTGAAAATAATACTGTACGTGTATTTTGTGGCTAGATTTTTCAAGTGGACTAGTTTTATAGAAGAATGAATGAATTCTGGGAGTTGAAGTCCACACTTCTTAAAGTTGCCAAGGTTGAGAAACACTGGTTTACTCCTTTAGAAATTGAAATAACTAGAATATAGTGGCCTTTTATGTATTAATTTTAATAGAAAAGACATTAGAAACATTGAAATTAAGTAGCTAATTCTATTCTCAAATTGATGCCCTCCAATTTTTTAAAATGATAGTCAGCTCCAGTGCAAGTCTTCCAGATGTGCGAAGACTTCCCTTGTCTAGGTTTCTGCTTGACTGAAGCCACACTGATGTTTGAATGTAGCAACCTAGCCAATTTTGAATATGCAGTCCATTTGAGTCCAATTATTTAGGCTATTTTTTTGTTCTTGTTCTGTTTCGGTATCTGAATATTTATTGTTGTACACTATTTGCAATAGACACCCTAAATATTTCTGGGTTAGAAAGCAAGGTATCCAAATTTAGAATAAACACAAACCACGTCTAAACATTTTCCACCCTCTTTAAAATTCAAGGGGAACCTGCCTTTTAGATCTGAAGGAGGCTGGCGTGAAGCGAAACTAATGGATTGATGACTCAGGGTTGGAGATGTATTAAAATGCCATGTTTTCATCTAGCTTTCAGTTGGACGTCTGCTCTTGGATGTGGCTGTCCCCTGTGGAGAATCAAAACAAAAGTATAGCTTGAATTAATTATACTATCTTATACATAAAGATACGGCGTGGTGTATGTTTTTAGTTGTACAGTATTTCTCTAGCAGTGTCTTTAAATAGGGATTCTTGTTACGAGGCCAGTTGGTTGGCTGTTGGTAATTAAATGAATTTATGCCTTGATCACAGGCAGTAGATTCAAGGGTATGCCCTGCTATGTTTCCTTGTTCCCAACTTTCCTTTCTCAGCTAAGTATGGAATCATCTCATTAGAATAACAGAGCCCTTGACCTCTCTCATATATCAAAGTTGCTCTGTTGTGCTCCAAAGAATGCATTTCAGGTGTCTTCACACCACGAATAATACCTGAATGTCCCTTAGTTGTAAACCTCTTCTTTTAATGTAGACATGTTCTTAAACTGTCTTTGATCCACATTCAGTATAAGACCTTGGTGAATCTTGCTTTTGGTTTTCCTGAGTGCAAGTAACCAGTGACTCATTGTAACCTGCTAACTTTGGAAAATAAAACCATCATTGGATCCTCTCCAGCGATTGACGTTTGTTGGGTGCAGTTGATTTATTCCTTGGATTTTTACTCCACTGCAGTTTAGCAGCTTCTCAGCAGCTTACAAATACAGCAGAAACCCAACACGAAACAAAAATGCAAAGATACGAACAAAAGCTAAAAACATGAAGTATGCAATGCCACCATACCCGTTCTCCACCACACCAGTGATGGCAAAGGGTCTAGGCCAGTGTTTCTCAACCTTGTGAACTTTAAGATGTGTGGACTTCAACTCCT